AGGCGAACCTGCTGGCGAAGCCCTCATTTCACTATCGTGCACTCGTCAGGCGAACCTTCATTCGCCAGGCGAACCTTCGCTGGCCACACTCGCCAGGCGAAGTTCCTACCCTTTAGGTCTGGGACTTAATTCTGAATTATTCGCTGCCACTCGCCTCAGCTCGCCAGGCGAACTCTCGCCTCCCTTCGCCAACACTCGCCAGGCGAAGCCCAGCGAATGCTGCGATTCATCAGTTTTTCTAACAGTTCTGCAGATTTCTATCTAGGCCAAATAACTCTAATCTCCTATCCCAATTCACACCTTAACCTCAGTACCAACATTACACGTAATTCAGCCTAAATGATTCCTAATCCCAATCCCAAAATCATCACCTAGACACTTTATTGATACATCAGAATCCCTACAGAATTTCCCTAAAAACCGTAAAATCACCTATATGTCAAATTAACCAAAAACCACAATTCATTCAACAATCAACATCCAATTATCAGCAATAGTCAACAATCACAACATATCAATATGTAATATCATATATCGATCAATCTCCTACGGGGTTAAGGAATCCCCAACTACCCTATACATGTATAAACCATTTCCCAATCAAGTTTCTCCCCCCTTACCTTGTTAATCGGTTGATCGATGAAAGAACCCTCCAAGGTTTGGCCAATTCTGATTTTCCCCCGTTCCTTCGTTCTTCGCTCCCTTTTCCGTTCTTCTCACTTCTCTCCTTTCTATCGTTCTTTTTCCACTTTCTCTAACTTCTCACAATGTATCGTAAAAACTACTAACCCCTCACGTTCTCTATTTTAATTCTCTAATCCCAATAATAATAATAACTTAATAATAATAATAATAATAATAATAACTTAATAAAATAATAATAATAATAATAACTTAATAAAATAATAATAATAATAATATTATTATTATCTCACCAAAATAATAATAATATTAATAACAATAGTAACTATAATAAATATAATAATAATAATATTCTCACCAATATTAATATTATACACTATATTATTATATTCACCAAAACACCACCAATAATCCTCCCACATTAGGGACACCCACCAAACATCACCAAATACACCCCCACCAAAGGGCACACCAACATATAATATTTAAAATAATAATAAAATGACTAAATAATTAAAATGGGTGTTACAGTGTGGACATCTAAAACACCTATCATTCGGTTCAATACAATGGAGATACACCAAAGTGATCAAGTGAAACTACAGTTCGGGATGCATCAAGATATTCCAGTCGCTCCAACGTCATTGGGACACTGGCATCAGCAAGGGTGGATACATAATGGAGTCAAATGCTACAAAATTTATGGGACCCATGGGCATTGAACTTAATTATGGAAGCGCCATTGGCAGCGGCCCGCCCGGCTATTGGGGTCAAATGCTTCAAAATTTATCTGATACGTCGGGGTGATCTCAACAAATACCTCTTCCACGGGTCAAAACGCAAAGACCAGATACACCTCAACAACCTCGTGGTAGACCTCGACGCCGCGCGAATCTTCCTCAATGTGGAACCGGTGGTTGTTTTGAGAGAGTCGGACATTGATTTTCCTTTTTTCATCTGTTGTACAATATAAGCTATTTTATATTATAAATATTATAATTTATTATTTCTTTTAATTATTTTTTTTTACAAAATATTAAAAATGAACCATTTTTTTTAATTATATGTTTTTTTAACAAAATATCAAATATTATATATTAAAAAGAAAAGCTCTACAACTGAGGCGTCATATGGTATGACAATTCAGGGTACAGTTTTTATTTTATACCCTTACGTAATATGAAATGGCGACTCAGATTAAGATGACATTGATCGGCCATTTCATATGGCGACTCAATATAGAAATATAGTTACTTTGATATTATTTTTTTTAATTTTATGTTTATATGGTATTTTAATTGCAAAATAAGGTTATTTTTAAAAAAAATTCAATTTTGTTTATGTGGTTTTGTTTGGACAGAATTGATATTTGAAGGAAAAGTCAAACAGGAAGGCCTCAGTCGATGGAGCAAGGTTTATTTTCGGGTGTTCATTTTTAAATTAGGAAACTGAACAATTGGACATTATCTAGCATAAAAGTTATTTTATATTTTTGTTATCATTAAAGTTAATGCAAACCACTTGATTTATTGGTAACTTGTGGTCGAACTAGCTTTTTTTTAGTAGTAGAATTGCCAGCCTATGGAAGTGCTATCTTGCATATTGGAATGACCAATCCACTATTTTGAGTGTAGAATTGCCAGCCTGTGGAACTAGCTTTTTTATAGTAGTAGAATTGTCAGTCTATTGTTGTTGATTCTGAGTACTATATCTTTAAGTTAATTGTGAGAGACAAATCTTTTATGTAAAGTCTCTTATATTATTCACATAGTTGAAGCGTCTTGTTTAAAAAAAATCCTTTTATTAAGTTATTGTTTTAGTTTCTATGGGATCACTTTGAGTCTAAGTCAGTAAGTCAAAATAAGTTTTGTTTAGATAGGGGAGAGGAAGCAAATCGAATATGTCAATCCAAGGCATATTATTAGAGAGAACAAGTTATAAAACTATTATATAATAAAATATGCATTTGTTATTTGTAATCAACTCCCCTGTATCAGTTAGTTCTTTGTGTATATGTATTAGTTTTTTATATGTTCTTCTCATATTTTCGACATCAATTTAGAAAAGCATCGACATGTTTTTTTATTAAGTAAGACAATGATAGTTAAAGTAAATTTACTATAAATACATTAGAGTTTAAGCTAATACATACTTTGTCAATTGAATCTTAGATACTTGGTAATATTGAATTGGAATGGACTCTAACTCCAAAAATGTTTTTTTTTTATAAATTAATTAATTAATTTCTAACCTAAATTGTTTTTTGAAATTTGAAAAGGCATTATTTTATGTAATTTGCAAGTGACAACATTAACAATTGATTTCTATATCAGTACACGAGTATTTGAAGTGAAGCATATGAATAAATATTTACACAAAAAAATAAATTTTTTTCTAACTTACTAAAAATTAATCTTTATCTTAATGTTTATTGCAATTTTTATTAAACTGCTCTAATACAAAATTAAATTAAATATATTATATATACAACATATTATATAATATTGATAACTATTTAGCCAAATATTTAATCAGTCAATAAAATTTTAATAAATTTTGTTTTTTCGTAAAAATATTTTAAAATAAAAAAAATGAAACTACTAATTAATTATTGGACGGAAACAACTTTATTATAAATTTAAATATTTTTTATATACGAGGACAATGTTACTATCGATTCTAATATTTTTAAAGTATCAAAATAAAATTAATATTTATATACGGAAAAAAAAAGACATTGTTAATTAAAATATTTTTATTTAAGAGAAAAAATATTATTGTTATGAATGAGAACGACTTTACTATTAATTCAAATATTTTTATAAATATTGTCAAAACAAAAATAATACTTTGATTCAAATATTTTCATACATAAGAACAACTTTACTATTGATTCAAATATTTTTATAAATAGTGTCAAAAAATGTTAATATTTATATACATAAAAACATATATTGTTGATTAAAATATTTTTATACAAGAGAAAAAATTATATTATTATAAACAAAAACAAATTTACTATTTATTCAAATATTTTTATAAATATTATCAAAAAAAATATTTTGATTCAAATATATTTATAAATAATGTCAAAACCTGTGAAGTATGGGTACTCCATTTTAGGCAAAGTATCGGTACCGGGTACCGATACGCGTATGGTACGTACCGACATTGTACTTATTTATTATTTATTATTTTTTAAGTCGATACTCCAAGGGATACATATTCAGTACATATTGGGTACGTCAACTCAATTTTTTTTTCTTTTAATGGTATAGTTTTAGCATTTTCTTTAATGGGGTTTTAAGTGCCGATGTATAGTTTGGCCAATTTGATCCGTTGCAAGATCAGTAGATCTTGAAACCAAAGGAACGGTGGATAACTCATGAATCTTAAATCCTTAAACTTCAATCTATTGCATTGAAACTCCTTGCACAACCAAATTCTTTATCTTCTGTTGAGAGAATTCAAAGTACATATAAATTTATATTCGCGTACCAGTACTTTGGTTTTTTTTAAATGATTTATTCCGTACCAATACCCCATACCTTTGCAACGTGGGTCAAAACCAAAATAATATGTATATACAGAAGAAAAAAAATACATTGTTAATTAAAATATTTTTATATGTAAAAATTTATCGACTATTTTTTTTCAAATACATGAAAAAGATTAAGGAAACTTATTAAAATAGATTGAGTAGATATTTAAAAATTATATTGTCTCTTATAAAATAATCTCTTCTTTGTAAAAAAAAAAACTAAAACGATAATTCATCTAATACAAATTTCAATAGTTTTTATTTTTAATCATATTATTTATAATATTGTTAATTACCATCATCTTCTACATTTATTATTATGTCAACTTAAATTTAATTTATTCTTAAACTTTTCCTCTTTTTTTTTGAACTTCCTACTTTTATTACATTCTGCAAACAAATACTCATTCAAAATTATATCCTTATCAAAAAAAACGTACCCACGGATTTGTATCTAGATGTAACTAATATTGTAACTTAATGTTTTGATTTTGATTCTAAACATGCTCACACATAACGCATACTAGCCTCAACATTTTTACACTTTCAATTTGAAGTTTATCTGAAACCAGATTAGATGAGACACATGCTTCCACAAATTTAGCTTAATATTATAAACTTTGCCTAAACTTCGATATTAATGGTATAATAACTTGTCTTTGAGCAATAACATTCACTCACCAGGACATTATAAACACTGGTTAACTAAGCAAAACAAAGTCAAAACAACTGTTTTACCAAGTAAATAAAATCATAGAGATATCCATTGAAATGAAGACTCAAAATTTGTTACTCTTTCATGCTTCTTCATGCACCGTCACGCATATCCGGTCATTCCGACCGAGGAACTAACCCGATTGGCCTTCTTAGAAAGTGGTGTTGTGGATGCCTTAGTGAAGTACATGTAGTAGTATACGTTAAGAATCATGGTTGCAACGATGAAAACTGCCCCGGCAATGAAAATTCCTTTCCTCAAACTTTCACAAGAGAAGTTCTGCGCATAAATCATTCCCCGGTATTTGGTGTGATAGGCATTCTTTGTTGCACCGGCTATTAAGCATGATTCTGCAACAAGAAAAGTGGCCCTGCAGGAAAAAAAAACAAATAAGCAAGTGAACCTAAAATGACTCGCTAGTGAAGAAATTGAATGATTTCAAAGATCAGAAACAATAATTTTGATGTTTCATGAGCAACTCGATATCAGACGAAATGGAAATAGTCACTCGAGAATTCAGAATTCTTACCAAGATGAAAGAAAATATATAATGGACCAGGCTCGATTTCCCCCCGGTGCTAAAGGCCTCCCAAAGCACATGCACTTTGTCACGCCCATAAGCAGTGATTCACCGGAAAGAAGAAACAGGAAAGCGCCCACACCATAACCAGTTGCAACATCTGAATTGTAAACACAGTATGTTTCATTTGTTCCCGCAGTTATGTTAATGGTACCCTGTGAAGAAAGAGCGCAGAAAAGAAGCCAAATTAATGTTAACTAAGAAGAATAACCATAACAATTAAATGATTATAGCATACAGGACATTCTAATCAGCATTGAGTGGAACATGCACCATAACCTATAAAACATGGGCACTTCTAAATTAAAGATTGAATAAGTGGCTTTCATGGATGCATTAATGTTAGTCTCAAAGATGGGATTACTAGTGAAAGTGGAATTGTCAAACCAGAGGCATTATGAGAGGTGACTATGAAGTATGAAGTATGAAGTATGAACTAGAAAAGATCCATGATGAGCAATCATCTCACCAGTTAAATGCAATACAATTCTCAAACTCAGCCTCAAGCTAGAGAAAACTCGTGGAAACAGACACAAGTCATGAAAGTGTTGCTTCAGCTGTGAAGAAGGCATCTTTTCCAGCACAATTGTAGGCAGGACAGTCTGATTTTCAGAGATGAAGCTTTAGAAAATGCAAGCTTTCAAGAATCACTAGGAGAAAGTCAATTAGATGAAGGCTGCACCAGAGAAAGTTGAGAACTAGGAATAGATTTTGGGTTAGGATCAGGATGTTGTTAGGATGCAGATGCTTCACGATGGAAACAATCATAAGTATTCAAAGAGTGTGCGAGCATTATCTTCTTGAAGAGAGATGGGTGAAGGAATGTGATAGAACAGAGGTATGATTTAATATGATAAAGAAAAGTATTTTATTAATGAATGTGAAAGTAAAATAAATTCCAGAGCTACTGCTCCTCAGTCAGAGAAACTATTCTCTCACTGCCCAAACCCTAATATCAAAAACAGAAAATCAATTAATGCCTCACTACCGCCCCATACACTCCTCTTTATATGGAGAATAATCCCTAAACTAACTCCTATTTATATGGAGAATAATACCTAAACTAACTCCTATTTATTTGTGGAGTTTTCTATTCTTTCTCACATATACCCTCCATTGTTTAGGTCCAATAATATCTCTATTAACTAACACATTCCCATCATCATTTGTGGGATCCGATCCATTCCTATCATCACCCCCACCTACAACATTAGCCTTGTCCTCAAGGCGCAGATCAGGGAATTGACTCTTCAGCAATCCTTCCAACTCCTTAGTCTGTTGATCAGAGACACACGACACCGGTGACCCTAACACCTCCATCAAGGTAGGCCATTCACAGCCTGCTATCATTCGAGAAGGAGTGATAATGCTTTGGAAAGTAGCCATTTTATCATCTACAGCCTGACCAAGTAGTTTCACCATACTGCCTTTATGGTTGAACTCCATAGACATTTCTTTCCAATCCATGGTCACCTTCCCCAAAGTTTCTAGCCACACAACTCCTAAAATCAAATCCACACCTCCTAACTCCAACACATAAGCATCAAAGCAAATCTGCACTGATCCCACTTTCATCTGAATTCCATTGCATCTACCCCTAGTTAGGACACGATGACCATCTCCTAACTTAACACCCAAAGGATTAGAAGGCACCATAGACAATCCCAGGGCTTCAACCACCTTAGGTGATATGAAATTATGTGTGGCTCCACTGTCAATAAGTACCAGAATTAATGCACCTTGTAAACATCCCTCCAATTTCATCCTCCGGACCTGATTTGGATTAGTGGATACACCAAACAGCCCCATGGTTTTAAATTCTAATTCCTCTTGTGTGAGCTCTTCTTCCGTCGCAGCCTCCAACACCACAATCTCTCCTGCATCGTTAACAATTTCGTCATCCCCCAAGATAATCACTCGTAACTGTCTTGTTGCACATTGATGGAGAGGATCCCATCGTTCGTTGCAACGAAAACAGAGTCCTTTCGCACGACGCTCATTAACCTCTGCACTTGGTAGATGGCGAACACCACGAGATTGACGGCGTGAATTGTCACCTAAATTTGGGCAAGAAGATGCTGTAGAATTGGTAGGACGTGTTGAGACGGTTTGAGATCCAGAATCCGAACCAGTCCGCGTTTGGCCCGCGTTTGGCCCAAAGAATTATTAGGCTGGGTCTGAGTTGCAGATCCGTTCCCTTCCCCTTCGCGAAAAGCCCAATTAGGCTTTTGAGATTTTGTCCAAGAACCATGACCCGGTTTGTAACGTGTTCCAGAACCCTGTCCAGAAGCCACTGCAAATTCACTTTCAACATCACGAGTCAATTGCATTGCTAGGTAACGGTTGCGAGGCTTGAAGGTACGCACACGAGAACGGATATCATGACGTAAACCACCAATGAAATAACCTAGAAACTGTTGTTCTGGTAAACGACCACACTGTGAAGAATACAGTTCGAATTCAGTAATATATTCCTCTACGGATCCCGATTGTTTTAGTTCCTTTAATTCCTCAAACGGATTCTCCAAACGCCCACCTCCAAATCGAACCATCATCGCCTCACGGAGGTTCTCCCATGACACTTCCTCTGTTGAATCATGCCATAGGTTAAACCAATGGATAGTAGGGCCTTCCATACTCAATTTGGTCAACTGAATACGAACATCCTGCGAAATTCGTTGTACCTCAAAGTATGTCTCTGCCCGAGTGATCCATGCAACCGGATCGTCACCGGTAAATGCCGGCAACTCCACCTTCTTCGCAGATAAACGAAACTCATCCAGCGGTGAGGAAACTGTCGCATTGCATGGCTGCGGCACTTCACGATGAGCCATTGCACGTTGAATCTCAGCACCAATGAACTCTCGTAACGCAGCAATGCTAGCCTCGACACCTTCCAACCTTTCTTCCACTGTAGAAATACGGTCAACCATCTTAGGAGCTTTGGGCATGAACAATGGTAGGTCGGACCAATTGATAGAACAGAGGTATGATTTAATATGATAAAGAAAAGTATTTTATTAATGAATGTGAAAGTAAAATAAATTCCAGAGCTACTGCTCCTCAGTCAGAGAAACTATTCTCTCACTGCCCAAACCCTAATATCAAAAACCGAAAATCAATTAATGCCTCACTACTGCCCCATACACTCCTCTTTATATGGAGAATAATCCCTAAACTAACTCCTATTTATATGGAGAATAATACCTAAACTAAATCCTATTTATTTGTGGAGTTTTCTATTCTTTCTCACATATACCCTCCATTGTTTAGGTCCAATAATATCTCTATTAACTAACACATTCCCATCATCATTTGTGGGATCCGATCCATTCCTATCAGAATGGGATAAGAATATGTAAAAAATTGATGTAAGGACTTTTGATACTTTAGGTAAAGAAAAGAAAATCTTCAAAAAAGAAAGAAACATCAACAAAAGTAAAGAAAATGTGTAATAAAGGAGTTTAACATGAAGAAATCTTGGAAATTATGATACAATTTAAGCACCAATTAACAAATTCAATAATCACACAACCAATTAAACTAGTACCATTTCAAGAACTAAAGTTCGCAAAACATAACAAACCTAGCATTTTGCTTCTTACATGATAGGGAAACCTAAGCTATAATAGAAACATAATCTAACATAGATCTCTTCCACTTTATCAAGTTATGTCAAAAAAAATTCATAGAAATCAGGTTATCTAAGGAAAAAGATAAATGAAAAATAAAAGTAAATTAAAAGGAGAGAGAGAGAGAGAGAGAGAGAGAGAGAGAGAGAGAGAGAGAGAGAGAGAGAGAGAGAGAGAGAGAGAGAGAGAGAGAGAGAGAGAGAGAGAGAGAGAGAGAGAGAGAGAGAGAGAGAGAGAGAGAGAGAGAGAGAGAGAGAGAGAGAGAGAGAGAGAGAGAGAGAGAGAGAGAGAGAGAGAGAGAGAACAGTAACTTACAACGCTTCTTCTTCTCTCAGCGGCAATGGCGAACCCAAATGCGACTAAGCAGAAAACAACTACTAAAAGGTGCACAAGAGTGGAACCTCTTCCCTCCGCCATTTTGACTGCTAAGAACTTTCAAGTAACTCTGTCAAATGTGAAATGGGTTTTGTGAAGCTACTGAGTATAAAGAGTAGAGAGAAAACAGTGAGAAGCTGAATCGGAAAAAAGTGACAACTTTTTTTCAATTTGTAGTGAAAAAATATTATGCGAAGGAAGAAAAGTAACATCCTTGTTTTAATAAAGTTGTTGTGATAAAAAGAGGAATCTTATACCCACGCGATATGTTGGAGCGTGATTACACGCTGAGTTTAGAAATATTAATGTGAATAGGATTGTAGGTGTTTGTAACGTTTAAGGATGGAAAAAAATCCGTATTCGACAATAATGGTGGATAATTTAATGAATATTTATGGATAAAATAAATAGATATTTAAGTATGTGTTTATTAATGAATGAATATGAATACATGATATATGTGCATGTAGATATTTATATTTGTTAAAAAATTATAAAAATTTTTAAATATCATTAGTTTATTATATCTTATTTTTCATCTTCTAAAAATATTAGTCTTTTTATGTATTTTTTTTCTTTTTGAAATTTTCATTAAAGAAAATCTTTCGCATTTCATTCAAATTTTATTAGTCATTTCATATTTAAACTATTCAATACTTCATACATCATTTCAACAATTTTACAGTCCAACCAACTAGTATCATTATTTCTATATGGAACCAATGTCTCTCTTCCTACTTCCCTATTATCCGCTTTTCCATCATAACTCACAATCACAATATATTTTATTTGTTTGGTTAAAAATGAAATGGAAGGATATTATGTTTGGATCTAATAATATTTTGGTGAATAAGAAAAAAATTAATGTGAAAAAATTTTATTGTTAAATTAAGAGCGTATTGTATGGATATTATGTGATAATAATTTTTTATGTCTTTAAAAGAAGTTAAAAAATATTTCTTTTCAAACAAAAAATTTATAAAAAAAAATATTATCCATGGATATTTGTAAATATCCATGGATACCGTAAAACCTGCAGATTAACCGTTTAACATATACCCGCATGAATATGTGGCAGATATGAATATCGTATTTATCTAACGAGACAGATATGGATATCATAATATCTGTCCCCATGAATATTCATTTACATCCCTAATAACGCTCCTGTGTGGGGTTACGGTTACGAAGTTGCTTCTTGTGAAATGTTATTTGTTTAAATAAATGAAAAACTTTAATATCTCTCTTCGAAATAAATAAGACACTTTTAATCTTTTCTTTTTCTTGCTCATTTTATGTCACATAACTGAAGGCATATAAATTAATCTTTTTTTATAAGATCAATTATTTTTTGATTTAATTGTAACTTTGATCCTCATAATTTTATATTTTTTTAAAGTTTTGATCCCCATTTTAAAAATCATGTTTTTTTCCTTTTCAAAATTTTGTTTTAAATTTGAATCCCCTGACTAATTTGAAAATACTTTTTTGATAATGTGGAGCTTGTCCAACTCATTATTTATTAAATTTTTAATGTTAATTCATTTTAAAGTATTTCATTAATATATAATAATAATAATAATAATAATAATAATAATAATAATAATAATAATAATAATAATAATAATAATAATAATAATATAATTATAATAATTTTTCCCAAAACATCTTCTTATTGTTCCCATAAAGTGTGTTGTTCCCCAAAACAAAGAACTTTAACCCTATATCTCATCTTCTACTCATTATTTTCTTCTTCACATCTTGTCATTCTATTCTTTGTCTCTTTTATCATTAACAACATCTCCAAAAACAAAACCATGTAGAAATTCAATTAGCTTCATCTTCTGCAAATAAACACAACATAAACCTTTATACTCTTCCATCATCAACACGCCATAAACATACCTCCACCACCTTTTTCATCCATCATATTCAACATCACAATAACAAATAAACAAAAACAATAGCCTATCAACAATTCATAACTAAAACAGATCCAAAATCAAAAAAATAAGAAGAAGCAAAACAAGTAGCAACTCATCGCGGCAAAATCCATCAGAATTCCGACGTTCTCACACAATCGTCAAAAACGCGCAGATACGTCGACGCCACGAAACATCATTCATGCTACCACCACACAGAACTACATGTTGCTGCCGCAAAATTGAACTCGCTGGAAAACAAAACAAGTTCGGTCGCGAACTCACTTTCACCTTCGCGAATTAAGGTCCACGCAAACCACCATAGCAAACGTGACCATCGTTGTCTTTGCTTCTGACCACAAAATCTACAACCATCAGATCTTCCGCAGTTCCACCATTAACGTTGCAGAAGGCTTCCTTTTTTTTCACCTTCTGTTTTGATTTGTATTTCTTATTTAGACTTTGTTGTTTCTATTTGTTTTTTTTTCTAGAAAAAAACAAGATCAATGATGTTGTTCTGAAGAAGATCGCTTGCGTTCTTTAAAAAAGGAAAGAGATGGAGTTGAATGTTTTAGAGAGAGAGAGAGAGAAAAGAAATCATGTGGTTTGGGTTTAAAAAAAGAACAACTTGTTGTATAAATAAAGAGGGTTGAAAATTTATCCCAGTTATTTTTGTTCAGTATTATGTTTTTTTTCATTATATTTATTTATTATTTACTAATTTAATAAATGATGAGTTAGAAAAATTATTTATAATTTGACATTGATACATCATCAGAACAACTTGTTGTATAAATAAAGAGGGTTAAAAATTTATCCCAGTTATTTTTGTTCAGTATTATGTTTTTTCTCATTATATTTATTTATTATTTACTAATTTAATAAATGATGAGTTAGAAAAATTATTTATAATTTGACATTGATACATCATCAGAACAAGCGTTGCATCATCAAAAATATTTTAAAATTGGTTAGGGGACTAAAATCCAAAACAAAGCTTAAAAAAAGACCAGAATTGTGGTTTTTAAAATAGAAGGATCAAAACTAAAAATACAAAATGGGGGGACCAAAGTTACAATTAATTCTTATTTCTTCTTGTACATTTTTTTTAATTATACTTTTGGTTTTAAATCATACTTAGGTATTACTTTCATCTCTCTAAGTTTTTTTATATATTTTAATTTAGTCTACTAAATTATTTTTTATTTAAATATTTTCCATTTTATATTAATGTCATTAACTACTAACATAATACTTTGATTAAAGAAAAAAAACTATAAACTTTATTCACTTTGATATCTTCAATTACAAATTTTAAATATTTCGAGCATTTATATTATTTATAATCAAGAGGTTTAAATGTTTAATGTTTCGTCATGTAAAATGTCCAATAAAACTGGTTCAATTATAAGTGTCCAATTTAGATAAAGCATTACATTGATTGGCGAATATGGTTGTCTATGCTTTAGAACATCGAGTCGGAGTATGCCATTTTCATCATTTCCACCTTTAGTATACATATCCAATTATCGTCCAAATTCAAGTTGAAAGCAGCTTTAACTATCACTTCTATATAAGTATGACTTTGAGTTACACACATTTATTATTCTCATCCACACTGGCATTATTTCACATCTCGCAGGCACTGGCTTGAGTATTGGAGTATTAATCTTGTAGGTACTCCTCCCATTTGATCCCCATAGATCTTAAATAATACATCAGAAACTTTTCCACAGTGGTTCTCTTTTACATCTCTCATATTCTTTGTCCTAGTACGAAATAGTGATCTCATTTGTGGGAATTGTTTTTTTATTCTCACAAATTTTTCATCAAATTTCTCTGATTTTCTTCGTTGCATTGTCACAAGTGTCTATGTTAATTATTTTGATTACCATAATTTTTTATGTTGACCCTCTTGATCATTATTAATCTTATCACAACCACTTCCTGCTATCTTTTCAATGATAGGATCCAAAGTAACTCGGTACATTATTCACCATAAAATTATTCTCATTTCTAATGAATGTTTAGCGTTTCAGATACTTTAAGATATCGCAACATTTATTCTCACTCTCGCGACTGAAGAACCACCTCAACACCAAGATCTATATACTTTGATGGTAATCCTGTCATTAATCGTGGCGACATGCCAGATCCCAAATTATCAATCCATTTTTCAAAAATATCTTAAAATTCCTTCATTACAATATCAATTTTCACTTCAACCACCACAATATTGACATTAGATTTCTCCTTAACCAGCATTCCAATCCTTGGGATACTACAACAACAAAAAAAGATTTGTGACACTCAACATGCACTGGTTCACCAAAACCCGCCCTCATATGCTTATTACGGCAGTTGTCACGACAATGTTGGACAACCGCCCTTAATTCACGTCTATTTCTAACTACTCCCCTATTCGGTCACCATTTGTGTTAGTTTTGATGTAATTTGAATGCCAAAAGTAGGTGATTGTTGTAAGTTTGGGCAATTATTTATATTTATTTTGGTAGATTTTTACATTAACTTGATATGCTAAGGTTTTGTAATTCTGGGCTATTTTACGCGCTTGATGTAACACTCCAATTTTTAGTAATTATTTATTTATATTAATTAATTGAGTGATTTTATGCATATTTGATTTATTTGAATTATTTGATTTAATTGAATTATTTGATTTAATTGTTATTTTATTTAGTGAAATAATATGTGGAAATGGTAGAAATAAGTAATTGGGCCTATTGGAAGAGAATGTGAAGAGTAAAGGTGGGGGTATTGTTGTAACACCCCACTTTCTAACAATAAAATAAAATAAAATAATCATCAGAGTTTCTCCACCAAAGTGGGATATCACATCGTAAAATTCACCAAAACACTTTATTAGATGTTTTTCAAAATAGAACAGCGGAAATTATTATTAATCCATCATTCTCGGCCATTCGCCAAATTACATAAAACGTTCATTAAGAAGGTTCACCAAAGTAAGATACGTCACACGAGTAAAAAAAATTCAACATAAAACAGATAGACACCCAAGTCCCGTGCTACGTATCAGAGCATCCTAAGACTCGACTCGCACACCACTATCCAAGCTAGCTATGTACTTGGATTATCTGT